TAGCTCCATTTGCAAGCAGGTTATTCCATGATCTCCCTTACTGGAGAGGAGACCTATCTAACCACAGACTTGTAATCCCAATAAGTGTACAATTCTCAGTGGAGAGGAGACCCACAGTTAATAGCTCCATTTGCAAGCAGGTTATTCCATGATCTGCCTGAGTCTGGAGTTCATGTGGGCTTCATGCAGTAGAAAGAATGTGCCTCATGTTCCATGGGTGGCTATGGGTGGGGCTAGAAAGAGGCATAAGTTCTCCCTGTAATCTCCAGAACATGCAGCCTGCTGCCTAGACTTCAGACAATCCACTACTTAAATATTCCTTTAGGGATGGTTCACTAAGGAACATTTCCTTTCTGTCTAGGTGCCTATCTGTCTTCTGCTACAGTTCATGGTGCCAATACAGTTTACACAGAAAAATCTCCAGGCCAATACCAAGCTGCCTTTAGTCCTGCCCAACTCCCTGAGCCTCCTATGCTCACTGGTGCCCAAGAACTAGAGAAAACTGAGGTGGCAGAGAGCTGTTCTGTCAGTATAAACTCAAGTGTGAGCACAACTGGTGAGGCCATGACAGCACCTGGGCTGAGCCATAAATTTGCTTCAATGTCAGAGGGGGCACTGGGAGCTGGAAGAGGCCAGGCAATGAGAGCATGCACTTCAGAACCTTTTTGGGATTGATGGTCCCAGTTCTGGAAAACACAGAGACACCTGAGTCTGCAGCTGTGGCTAGCAACTGCAACTGTGCCTGAGTAGGTGGGGCACAGCCCTGGGTTTCTCTCCCTCATTGCACCTGGCATTTTGGCAGCAGCCCCTTCAAATGGGTTGCTGCTACCATTACTTACAGCACTTCTCCCATTCCCGAATGATGCAGCGTGAACCTGAGAGTCTCTACTCTCTGATTATGACTTTTTCTTTATATTCACAAACCCCAACCTGAAGCTGTCCATCAACATTAGCATATAAAATAACAGCACTTTAGAGATTCCAAAGATTTTAGGAGTTCTATATTAGAAAACAAAGAGCCAACCACCTACAAGTCATTCTTTCAGCTTCTGCTTTTCCCTAGCCCAATGTCCCAGACAAAGCTTTTACTTCAGTCTCAGTTTTTCTAATCCAGGTCCTAAACCAAACTGAGTTGTGCTTTCTTCAAGACAGCTCACAGACAACTCAGAACATGTCTATCTTTACAGTTCATAAAAATACCAGACTCAGCCCTATAGCTGGAAAATCTCGAGCCCTCTCTTTACTGTGGAGAGCTTATTTATTTTGCTTGTTAAATTTTTGTTCTTAGCTGAAGTTTGTGTCCAGGAAGCTTAATTATCTTGGCCATGGGGCATCACGTCAGCCAGTAATTGGTCCCAGGCCAAGCCTTCATGCCAAGTTTCCGCGTTAGGTCCTGTTTGGTTTAGGTCCCAAGTCAAGGGCCAACCAACATAAGTCACATCTATGAATTATCACTTCAGCTTCTGATAAATTTCACATTTTTTAATTTTTTCATCTTTAGAAACCCTGAAGCCCAGTCTCATGCAAACCACTCAACCCCAAATCCACCATAAAGAGCTTTTTACTTTCATTTTTTAAATTTTTGCTTTAAAAAATGAAAGCTGTATTGGGTGCGTATCATTAGCTCTTCTTGTTGCATTGATCCTTTCACCATTATGTAATGTCCTTCTTGGTCTCTTTTGATCTTTGTTGCTTCAAAGTCTAATTTATCAGAGATGAGAATTGAAACTCCTGCTTTTTTTGCTCTCCATTTTCTTGATAAATCTTCCTCCATCCCTTTATTTTGAGCCTTTGTGTATCCTTGCATGTGAGATGGGTTTCCTGAATACAGCACACCGATGTGTTTTGGCTTTTTATCCAATTTGCCAGTCTGTGTCTTTTGATTGGGGCATTTAGTCCATTTACATTTAGGGTTAATATTGTTATGTGTGAATTTGATACTGCCATTTTGGTGCTAGCTGGCTGTTTTGCCCATTAGTTGATGCAGATTCTTCATTGTGTTTGATTCTCTTTACCATTTGGCATGTTTTTGGAGTTGCTGGTACTGGTTGTTACTTATATGTGTAGAGCATCTTTCAGGAGCTCTTGTAAAGCTGGCCTGGTAGTGATGAAATCTCTGAGTACTTGCATGTTTACAAAGGATTTTATTTTTCCTTCACTAACGAAGCTTAGTTTGGCTGGACAGGAGATTCTGGGTTGAAAGTTCTTTTCTTTAAGGATGTTGAATATTGGCCCCCACTCTCTTCTGGCTTGTAG